GGGGGCGGACGGGGGGGGACCCCCTCCTGCCCTCCGTGGGTGCTTTGCACGTCTCCTGCAGCTGCCCCTCCCCGCACCCCTCGCAGCCGGGGAAGATGACGCCGGCCACAACATTCCCTCCACAGCCCATCCATTCCAGCATATACACCATCTTCCCACCGGCCAAGGAGCTGGGGAGGGAGCACAAAGTCATCGCCCCCACCTTCGTGCCTTCGGTCGAAGCCTACGACGAGAGGAGTGGGCCCATCCAGATTGCCTCACAAGCCCGTGACAACAAGGTGAAGGACAAGGACCTCGGCAAGGTGGGGGTGCTGCAGTCGCCCACAGAGCGGTGCCTCGCAGATGCCTCCCGCGCGCTCTTGTCCCAGGACTTTTCTTGCCACAGCGATGCCAAAAGGATGGAGGCTCTGCGGGAGAAGGGCTCAGTGATCAGGGCGAACTCAATGGCACTGAAGAGACAGGTCGCTTCAGAGCCCTTCCTCAACCGGCCAGGACTGGGCTCCCCGGAGAGCAGGGAGTTCCTGGCCTCCAAGGACTTGCTGAAGCCGAATCCGGAGGCAGAACATCGCTCCTGCGAGCGGGACCGCTTCCAGCGATCCAGCTCCAAAGAAGCAGCAAAGGTCTACGGCACTTTGGACTCCTCCCGGCAGCACCTGGACCACAGTCAGCTGAAACCACCTGAGCAGAAGTGGAAGCCCTTTGAGATGGGCAACTTTGCAACCACGCAGATGGCGGTGCTGGCCGCCCAGCACAACCACGCCAGCCGGGCGGACGAGGAAGCCAAGAAGGTCTACCTTGACCCCAGTGGCTTGCCGCGGTCCTCGGTGGTGGGCTCGCGAGGTGCCGCGGATGTCCTCCACCCTGCCTCCCACGGCGAGGGGTCGGCCATGCAGAGCCTCATCAAGTACAGCGGCAGCTTTGCCAAGGAGACCACATCCCGGCAGAGCTGTGGCAAAAAGAGCCCCTTCGGTGGCTTGGGCAACATGAAGTTGGACTCTTCGCAGCTGGGGGCCTCCAAAGTGCAGCAGTTGCTGTCGCAGCAGCCAGCAAAGCAGCTGAAGAGGGACCCTGAGAGACCAGAGAGTGCCAAGTCCTTTGGCCGCGAGAGCATCGGCTCCCAGGGCGAGGTGGAGGTGAGGCACTTGCCCGTTGGCATCGCCGTGGCCGTGGCCCGGCAGAAGGACAACAGCAGCAGCAGCAGCAGCAAACTGGGACCCAGCTTGGCAGACCGGGATCGCTCGCTGTCCCTCAGCAGCATCAAAGGTATGTTCCCCAGGCCTGTCTTGAGACCTCCCGGTGGGATCTGCTCCCTGAGGGGAGCAGCCACGCAGTGCAGGCCGTGTGGCATGAGCTGAGTTTGGCGTCTTCAGCTCTCTCTGCCTCCTGCTCCCAGCACACTTAAGACCACAGCAGGGAGTAGGATTCCTTGTGCAAGCAGGAGTCCCCTTTCCCACATGCCATCCACTCTGTCCACCTCCGAGGACAACCCTTCTCCACGTGTTTGATCCCTGTTAGTGGAGGGACTGAGAACCCCTCAATTCGCCTTTGTGCCCATGTGTTAGTCTCACGGTTTTGATTTAAGCCCTGGTGTTGGCAGGGGGAAGATGACTCTGCTGAGTGTTTTGTTGCCCTGCTTGGCACGTGTAGCAAGGTCACACGTGGGGGCTGCCTCAGTGTGGGGAGAGCTCAGCTCTGGTGTGCCAGCGAGCGATGCCAAGGCAAGTGGTCAGCAAGCAGTGGCTGGATTTCCATTTTTAGCCTCCTTTTCCATTTTCCTGCCTTTGCACCCCTCTCCCAAACCTCAGCAGCAACAGGCAGTTCCTCTCGGCTGGCAGCCCCTCTCCCTGTTCCCATCACCTCCCATCTCCCTCCCCATGGCCGGGCAGGAGCCGAGCGAGGACCTCGTGAGCAGCACAGGGAGCTGTTTGTTCAGCCGTTCAGTCGTCCCAGACCCTCCCAGCTTGCATTAAATGTAATTTACTGAGCCAAACTAAAAGGCTCCAAACAAGGGCTGAATTCTGGCAGGCCTCTGGGCTTGTTGCTAAGTGATGCAGTTGGCTTTCAGACAGAAAACAAGACTGCTTTTCTCCTCCTCTCGCCCCCCAAATGCTGCTCCCCCCCCTTTTGTGTGCCAGGAGATATTCGTCTAATAACATTAGCTAGCTTGCGCTGAGTGGACGGTGCTTGAATGTTTAGACCTTTTAAGAAGGAGAAAGCAGGCTTTAGTGGGCTAATCTGTAGTATTTGGCAAGTAAAATGCAAGTATTTAGTGCTGGGCATTGGTCGTCAAGGAAACGAGGGCCTGAGCCTTCCCTCCCTGCATAACTGATTGGCTTTTTCTATGTGCTCCGTGCGTCATGTTCGTATATATAGACAAAATGATCATTCACTGTCGGGACAATCATCGGTCTGTATGGAAAAGGGACCGTCCTGATGGCAGGGTGGAGGGTTAGGCAGGAGTTAGAGGAATAAGAAAGTGTTTGTGTTTGGATGGGGGATGAGAAAAAAGATGATGAACCCATCTATAAATAAACGGAGTGCAAGTGATGTAGGTGGGAGAGGGAGGAGCAGAGGGAAATGGCAAAATAATATGTTTCTAAGAAAGGGCTAGTGGGGAAGGGGGAGTCAGCCCACCTTGTGCTGGGGAGGAGAGGAGGGCTGGGAGTTAACCAAGGGCTTGCTCCATGGTGCTGATGCCAAAGGGGCAATTGGGCATTGACTGGGGAAAATTAATAGTAAAAGGGGCTCAAAGAGGGAAAAAAGTGGGCTAGAGGGTAAAAGGGGATTTGTGTGTGACTGGGGATGCTGGTGGAAAGGCAGGGGGAGATGCTGGTAGAGGGGCAGGTGGGGATGCTGGGGCTCCAGAGGGGTTAGTGAGCCCCTGTGCCTTGTGCCATGGAGGCCAAGTAGTAATACTGAGCAACAGAGGCTGCATGGGGCATCATTCAGTGAGTCCAGGAGGGGCTGGCTGGGGACAGCCATGGCACACTGTGTCCTGGCAGGCTGCAAGGGAAATGGGGTGACCCTGGAAAGTCCTTGGGGAGAGAGAGGTGTATGCCAGGTTTTAAAGCATCTTTGCTTTGTGCCTGAAGCCCATGGAAGGAGCCTTGGGGAGAGGAGCTGGGAGAGATGTTGTCTTGTTCTTGGATTCCTTCTGACAGTAAACGCTGAGGGAATTGGAGACTTGACAGCAAAAAAAAACCCACGGGCTGTCCAGGTTTGTGGAAATACACAGTGGAGCCTTCCTTGAAAAGACTGTCTGTCAGCAGAGTAGACTTGATGTTCTGAGATTCTGTCCTGTGTGCCAAACCTTATCCAGATGGGAGAAGCAAGGAGCCTGGAAAGGGCTGGCAGGAGCTGGGGTGCAGCCGTGCAAGGCCGTGCTGTGCTGCTGAGCCCTGCGGGGTGCAGAGCATCACCTGGGCAGGGGATGTGCTGACAGGGTGCACCCAAGGGCTGAGGGAAGCAAACACCCTCCTCCTGGCTCTGTTAGACTGGCTGGCAGCTCACTGAAAGCAGGGCTGGGATTTAGGAGCGAGTCCTACTGCCAGAGTGTAACATGGACAGGGGCAATGGGGGTTTGTGGAAAGAATGCATGTGCAAGAAAGCTGGGGAAAAAACTAGAGAAAAGCAAGCCTAAAATCAGGCAATTGGGATAAAGACTGAATAAAATAAGGGAAGGATGGACCCAATGCCTGGTCCTGGCATGGCCAGCGAGGAGCAGTTGTTTGCTCCTGTGAAGGTGCTTCCCAGCCTCCTGCAGAAGTGACTGCTACCGTGTCAGGCTGTATTTGCAAGAGCTGTTCTGGTTCGGGGTGAGCCATTTCTAAAGCCATACGTTCAGCCCCCTTTTCTGGATTCTTGCCTTCCTCTGCTGTATGTGTCCCTGCTTTGCCAGACTCTTTCTTATTGCATGGTTTGGGGGAGGATGCAGTATTCCTACTAGCAGATTCAGAGTCAGAGTGGAGCATGCTGGTTTTCTGTAGTGTTGGTTCTGCCTGTTGAAGAAGGAGGAGCTTCAGACATACCCAGTGCTCCCAGACTGGTTTACAAGAGCAGAAATGCTTCAGAAGGTGCAGAGATGTCCTTGTGAGATGTTCTCAGCAGGACTCTGTGGTTTGATGCAGGGATTTAGCAGGGCCTCATCTCCCTCTGAGATGGGGAATCTGCCACTCTCCTTCAGAAGAAATGGTCCCATTAGTTCTGCTGCTCCCAGGTTGGTGGCTGTCCTGTCCTGGCAGACCAACCTGACCTGGTGAGTGGGTCCTTTGATGGCTTGAAGACACAGACCTCAAACCAAATGCATCTGCATGCTACCAGGAGCAGCCTTGGTGAGAACATCTTGATCACATAGACAGCCTTGCCCTGTCCTCAAGGGCTCCAACGTGATATAGTCTGGGGTGCAGTGGCATTTTTGTGTGCTGGCTCCAAGTGTGCTGTTTCTCCATGCCCAGAGAAGAGGGGACAACTTTCTCTGGACTGTATCTCATGTCTGATGGTGCTGGGTTGCCTTTTAGGGCATGGACGCTCAGAAGATGATTGTGGGGACGAGAGGAGCCGCCACCGGGACAGCCACCTCCTGGCAGGGCGCTTGGAGCGGGATCAGGAGAAGCTGCTCAGGTGAGGGTCAGAGGAGGACAGGGTTTCTTGCTGCAGTGCCACAAGCTGTGCTTGGGGACAGCCTGTCTGGAGGAGGGACAGGTTTGCATCCATCCTGGTGAAGGTGCTGGTACCAGCTTTGCTGGTGCAGGGAGGAGTGCTGAGCAGAGTATCATGGGGTTACAGGCAAATACTGAATCCACAGCAGACTAATCCTAATAGACTGCTGCAAATCCATGCCTGCTCCAAAGGGATGGACACATGGTTTGTTTTATTCTGGACATGATGTTAACCACCTCCATCACATTTCTCCTTGACTGTCTGACCCACTTTTTGAGACTTTGGTTTGCAAACACATTCATCTAGCAGACTGGTCTGTACCCCTGGGCTTCTGCAGCCACGCAGTGACCTGCAGCACTCGGACCCTCTCTCACTCTCTCTCTTGCCTCCCCCCTCCCCAGAGAGAGCAAGGAGCTGGCGGATTTTGCCCGGATACACCCCTCTGGCTGTGCCGCCAACGGTTTGAACTCCAACCTCATGGTGACAGGAGGCCCAGCCTTGACGGGCTCTGGGCGCTGGTCTGCAGACCCGGCTTCGCACTTGGCAGCCCATTCCTGGCTGCCCAGGACGGGGAGCCCCTCCATGTGGCTGGCCAGCCATCCCTATGGTGAGTGCCCTGGGAGGGAGCTGTGTGTCCAAGGGGTGTTCACCTCAATGCAATCCAGGGAGAGGTGTTGCGAAGTTTCCAGTGAGGCTGCGGTCTGCTCTCAGACTTGTGACTGTGATGTTTCTTCCTTCAGGACTTGGTCACCCTTCCCTGCACCAGGGCATGACTCCAGGCTTTCCCCCTGCCATGGGTGGAGCTCTCCCTTCTGCCTACCAGTTTGCCAGAGACCCACAGTCTGGGCAGCTTGTTGTGATCCCAAGTGAGCACTTGCCACACTTTGGTAAGGATGTGACCATGTCCCTCACTACTGTGCTTTGACAGCTGTGGAGAAGACAGGGTTTGGAGAGGGCTAGACAGGACTAGGGACCAGCAACCACAGCTTTAGGGTGTGAGCTGGCCTCTTCTTAGGTGTTTGTCAGAGATGGAAATGTGTCACCTTCAGCTGTGGCTCCTCACCCCATGAAGACTTTGGGTCCTCGGTTAGGAGAAGCTGCACACAAGCTCAGCCAGGGATAGTCAAACCAAGGGTGTGCAGAGAGCAAAGCAAGCCAGGTGGCCCCACGACCTGTGGGGTGGTGGGACTGGGGCTGCTGAGGGGTAGACAGCACCCTTTACACCTCTGCATTTCTGGTTGTGTTTCTGCAGTCAGCATTTGCCTTTCCCAGCTGGGGCAGAGACACTTCCCTTAGCAATCCTTTAGCCATTGCCATCCTCCTGCCTCCCTGACTGTGCCTCTGCTCATTCATCAGCAGAGCTGATGGACCGGGCGCCCCCGCTGTGGCCTGCGATGTACCCCCCGACCAGGAGCTCCCTCCAGCATGCTCACCAGCTCCAGCTCCTCTCCCATCAGCAGCTGCTGAGGCAGCACGAGCTCTACATCCTGCAGCAGCAAGCGGCCCACGCCATGGAGCTGCAGAGGAGCGCCCAGCTCGTGGTACGTTTTCAAGATCTTCTTGCTTGAATGTGGAATGAGCTTGAAGTTGGAGTGTCTGGGGGGAGGACAAAGCAGCTGTGTCTGTGTTGCAAGTATTTCTCAAGGGTATGGGTGCATTGAGCTATCCTGGCCTGGTCCACGGGATACGAGACATTCAGTGCATCTTGCACAGTTGGATGGATTTTGGGTGGGTTTGGTGTAGACCTGTTGAGCAGTGCCATCAGGAGAGCTGTCCAGCAGCAGTGCAGCCTTGATTCCTTCTCTAAGGAACTATCTGTTTAGGTGAGTGGCTTCATCCTTGGTCACCTCCAAGCAAACCTCTTGAGCATCTTGGAGAAGAAGCTGTAATACAGGTAGCAGTCACACTGGTTTTGGAGCCAGCTCCTGTTTACCAAATGATTTTTGAAGTCATGAGCTTTTACTTGGGTGTTCTGTACCCATTTCATTTTTATGGTGGCTATCTGGTTTTCAGCCTTCATTTTACATGTGTGCTTGCTAGGCTGGAGACTTAAAAATAGAAATGGTTTGCTTTGGTTGCAAGGGGAAGTTGAGACACTCTTCATATGACTCCTGGAAGTGGGAATTTGTAAAGAAAGCTATCACAGATCAGTGTCACCTTCCATCAGATTGGTCCTCAAATGGTGTCGACACACAGGAACATGTGTTTTAATCCGTGTTTGATAAGACCAGGTTTTGGTCTGGTTTGGTAGCAGGTCTGTGCTTTGCAGGAGCAGGTGGAGACGTCATGCTGAATTTTGCTCTTGTCACAGGAGAGGCTGAAGGCGAACGAGCAACGTGCAGATATGGAAGAGAAGGTGACGAAACGGAGCCTGGACAGTGCCAAATCAGGCCTTTCCTCCTCTGCCACGGGACTGGTGCACCGAAAGCCACCTGTGCTGTCTCCCAGTGCCTCCACATCCTACAGCAAGGCTGTGAGTCCACCTCCCCTCTCTCCCAGGGCCTCACCCGTGTCTGTGCTCAAAGCTGAGGTGATCCAAAAGATGGAGGAGCCACCTTCGCAGCCAGCCTACTCCTACCCTGCCACCCCCAGCTCCCATCCTTCCAGCCCTCCCCCTGCCTCTCCACCCCCTGCCCCTGCCATCCCTCCAAAAGAAGAGGCACCTGAGCCCGTGGAGAAGAAAGACCTGGAGCTGGAGAAGGAGGCTGCTGGTCCATATCAGGCCTTGTTCCCAGGTAAGAGAGCCCTGCTTTGGCAGAGTCCCATTGTGTTTGTGCCTGCCTCCCTTTTTCTCCTTGTCTCTTTCCTGCTTCCATCCCTTCCCGTAGAGAAAACCAGGTAGCTCCTCTAAATGGCAGGAGAGAGGCAAGGACCAGGAGTGGTGTGATGGACTTGGATCAATGCCTGGGTCTTAAGGGCACCTGGGCTGTAGACTGTGGCGGGGGAGCCCCTCCATGTGGCTGGCCAGCCATCCCTATGGTGAGTGCCCTGGGAGGGAGCTGTGTGTCCAAGGGGTGTTCACCTCAATGCAATCCAGGGAGAGGTGTTGCGAAGTTTCCAGTGAGGCTGCGGTCTGCTCTCAGACTTGTGACTGTGATGTTTCTTCCTTCAGGACTTGGTCACCCTTCCCTGCACCAGGGCATGACTCCAGGCTTTCCCCCTGCCATGGGTGGAGCTCTCCCTTCTGCCTACCAGTTTGCCAGAGACCCACAGTCTGGGCAGCTTGTTGTGATCCCAAGTGAGCACTTGCCACACTTTGGTAAGGATGTGACCATGTCCCTCACTACTGTGCTTTGACAGCTGTGGAGAAGACAGGGTTTGGAGAGGGCTAGATAGGACTAGGGACCAGCAACCACAGCTTTAGGGTGTGAGCTGGCCTCTTCTTAGGTGTTTGTCAGAGATGGAAATGTGTCACCTTCAGCTGTGGCTCCTCACCCCATGAAGACTTTGGGTCCTTGGTTAGGAGAAGCTGCACACAAGCTCAGCCAGGGATAGTCAAACCAAGGGTGTGCAGAGAGCAAAGCAAGCCAGGTGGCCCCACGACCTGTGGGGTGGTGGGACTGGGGCTGCTGAGGGGTAGACAGCACCCTTTACACCTCTGCATTTCTGGTTGTGTTTCTGCAGTCAGCATTTGCCTTTCCCAGCTGGGGCAGAGACACTTCCCTTAGCAATCCTTTAGACATTGCCATCCTCCTGCCTCCCTGACTGTGCCTCTGCTCATTCATCAGCAGAGCTGATGGACCGGGCGCCCCCGCTGTGGCCTGCGATGTACCCCCCGACCAGGAGCTCCCTCCAGCATGCTCACCAGCTCCAGCTCCTCTCCCATCAGCAGCTGCTGAGGCAGCACGAGCTCTACATCCTGCAGCAGCAAGCGGCCCATGCCATGGAGCTGCAGAGGAGCGCCCAGCTCGTGGTACGTTTTCAAGATCTTCTTGCTTGAATGTGGAATGAGCTTGAAGTTGGAGTGTCTGGGGGGAGGACAAAGCAGCTGTGTCTGTGTTGCAAGTATCTCTCAAGGGTATGGGTGCATTGAGCTATCCTGGCCTGGTCCATGGGATACGAGACATTCAGTGCATCTTGCACAGTTGGATGGATTTTGGGTGGGTTTGGTGTAGACCTGTTGAGCAGTGCCATCAGGAGAGCTGTCCAGCAGCAGTGCAGCCTTGATTCCTTCTCTAAGGAACTATCTGTTTAGGTGAGTGGCTTCATCCTTGGTCACCTCCAAGCAAACCTCTTGAGCATCTTGGAGAAGAAGCTGTAATACAGGTAGCAGTCACACTGGTTTTGGAGCCAGCTCCTGTTTACCAAATGATTTTTGAAGTCATGAGCTTTTACTTGGGTGTTCTGTACCCATTTCATTTTTATGGTGGCTATCTGGTTTTCAGCCTTCATTTTACATGTGTGCTTGCTAGGCTGGAGACTTAAAAATAGAAATGGTTTGCTTTGGTTGCAAGGGGAAGTTGAGACACTCTTCATATGACTCCTGGAAGTGGGAATTTGTAAAGAAAGCTATCACAGATCAGTGTCACCTTCCATCAGATTGGTCCTCAAATGGTGTCGACACACAGGAACATGTGTTTTAATCCGTGTTTGATTAAGACCAGGTTTTGGTCTGGTTTGGTGGCAGGTCTGTGCTTTGCAGGAGCAGGTGGAGACGTCATGCTGAATTTTGCTCTTGTCACAGGAGAGGCTGAAGGCGAACGAGCAACGTGCAGATATGGAAGAGAAGGTGACGAAACGGAGCCTGGACAGTGCCAAATCAGGCCTTTCCTCCTCTGCCACGGGACTGGTGCACCGAAAGCCACCTGTGCTGTCTCCCAGTGCCTCCACATCCTACAGCAAGGCTGTGAGTCCACCTCCCCTCTCTCCCAGGGCCTCACCCGTGTCTGTGCTCAAAGCTGAGGTGATCCAAAAGATGGAGGAGCCACCTTCGCAGCCAGCCTACTCCTACCCTGCCACCCCCAGCTCCCATCCTTCCAGCCCTCCCCCTGCCTCTCCACCCCCTGCCCCTGCCATCCCTCCAAAAGAAGAGGCACCTGAGCCCGTGGAGAAGAAAGACCTGGAGCTGGAGAAGGAGGCTGCTGGTCCATATCAGGCCTTGTTCCCAGGTAAGAGAGCCCTGCTTTGGCAGAGTCCCATTGTGTTTGTGCCTGCCTCCCTTTTTCTCCTTGTCTCTTTCCTGCTTCCATCCCTTCCCGTAGAGAAAACCAGGTAGCTCCTCTAAATGGCAGGAGAGAGGCAAGGACCAGGAGTGGTGTGATGGACTTGGATCAATGCCTGGGTCTTAAGGGCACCTGGGCTGTAGACTGTCTTCTTCCCTTGGGTCAAGCCTGGGTTGGTTCTCCCAGAGCTGAACGTCTCCGTGGGAGAAGGATGCAGGAGGCAGATCTCTCCCCAGTTGCAGGAAAATGCTGGAAAGGTGCAAAAACCACCTCTGTGGCAAATTGGCCAGGAGAGAGGTGCACAAAGCAGTCCCTGCTGGAGAACAGGAAGAGCTGAGAGATGAAGGGAACCCATCTCTATACCTTAGTGAGAGGTGCTTTGAAGGCCTGGCCATTACATAGCCTGTCTCTTCTGATGTCTTGCAGAGATCCCCCCCGGATATCCCTTCCAGTCCCTGCCTCCTTCCTTTGGAAGACACTATCCCTACCTCCTCCAGCCCACTGCAGCAGCTGATGCAGATGGCCTGGCTCCTGATGTCCCGCTGCCTGCTGAAAGCTCTGAGCACATGGAGCTTTCTCCAGAGGTCAAGCCCATCCACCTGTCTCCGTCCAAAATGCTAGAGCCCATCCAAGCCACAGCAGAGGAGGAGTCCTTGGAAGAGAGGGTGAAATCAGAGGTGCAGGTGGAGGAAAGTCAAGAAGGCATCTGTGAGCAGGACGTGGGCACTCTCAACATCACCACCTCCGCAGCCGTCCCAGTGCAGAATGTGGACAATTGCAATCTCCTGTTGCATCAAGGGGAAGCCCTGGGTGCTATGGAGCAGGACCAGGAAGACCTTCAGAGCTGCCCACCTCCTTACCAGGTTGTGGCCTGCCCTGCAGAAGCCGAGGCTCAGGCAGAGACTGGGAGTGGAGCAGAAACCTGCTCCGTGCACATGGACTATGACGGTTCGCTGGTGCACACGGAGAACGAGCCGCCCGAGATGGACTTGACACCCCAGCGGGAGGAGGCCCCTGTAGCCATGGATCTGCAGAGCGCTGATGTGCCCCGGGGGAGGGAGTTCCCCAGCCTGACCCCTGAGGAGGAGGAGCAGGGGACAGAGATCCCTTCTTACACAGAAGAGGCAATCTCTTGCCAGATCCCAGCTCTGGACATCAAGCCGGGCGACCCACTGGCTGGGATGAACGCTTTGGTGGCTGCCACAGAAATGCCTCAGGCCTGTTCCTTGTTGACTACCACCAGTGTCACTCCGTCCCAGATGAAGGTGGAGGTGTTACCTGACCAGGCTTTGGAGCACTCCTTCCTGCAAGGGATCACTTTGCTGAGTGAAATTGCAGAGATGGAGCTGGAGAAACGAAAGCAAGAAATGCAGAGTAAGTTGTGAGTGCAGGATCTGGCCAGGCTGGGACTCCTGCATCTGATCCCTGCCCTCCCTTTGCCTGCAAAGGAGTGGAGACACAGGTGGGATATCTTGCAACCTCAGTCAGGGAGCAAGGAGAGCATTGCCCTGAACTGCAGGAGTGGCTGGTAGTTTGGATGGGGTTGGAACAGGGTTTTATTGCAGTAGGTTGAGCTACGTGTGGCTTTTGTACTGCTCTCCCCTTCCAAAGGCCCTCACCATGTCTAGACAGCTTGTGGTATGTGTAGAGGAAACGGAGCCCCACTTGCTGAAGGCTGCCAGGGTAACACCCTTCTGGCAGGCACTGAGTCTGCAGTCTGTTGGGGTTTGGCACAAGAGGCCCCCAGTAGCTCCAGATGGTGCTTTCCAAGAGCTTGGCAGGTCCTGAGAAGTTCTCACCTTCCAGTAACTTCCTGAGGTGAGACATGATGGGAACAGCCAGTTGCATCATGGATGGGTACAACAGAGTATCTCAAGTGGTGGCCAAGGGTGGCTGGAAGGCTCTTTGAGCTGCCATAGTCCAGAAAGGGACATCAGCCTCTCCTTGTACCTTCTGGAGAAGCAGTCTTCGAAGGTGAACCTCTATAGCTTGTTTTTCTGTCCTCAGCGGGTCCAGAGAGTTTCCCTGTCCGGCCAACACTGGAGAGTTTGCTGGCTGCCAGCACCCACATGCTCATGGAAGTACTTTCCACCCCGTTTATGGAAAGTCTGAAAACCATCCGTCTGCCTCGCGAGCTGAATCCCAACAAAAAGTACAGCTGGATGCAGAAGAAGGATGAACCTGTAAGTAGCTCCGAGTGTGGCTGAGCCTGAGGAGCCCCAGTGCCCCTGCTGGCCACAGCTCACTGCCAGCCCCAGTTTGCCACCTCCCTGTCCTGCTCTTCTGCATTCAGCAAAGCCAGCCATGCTTCCCTCACCTCGCAGGAGCTGGTGTGCAGGGATTTAGCTTCCTCCCTTGTTTGTGAATCAACACCATTGATCTCAGCAGGACTCTCGGCAGCCCTGGAAAGCAGCATTTGTAATACAAAGGCAGCAGGAACTCATGTTGCTGCTTTGGCAAGGGGGGATAAATAAAGGTAGTGGCAGGGGAGTTTTTCCTTTTTTCTTTGCTGACTCTTCCCCGTGGGAGAGGCTGACAAATTATTTCGTACCCTGCAAGTAAGTGTTCCAAGACAGGCAATATTTTGATCTCTTTTTGAATATGGGAAACGAGACTCCATGGGTGTATTTTATCCTGCGGGTTCTTTCCCAGGGCTGTTCTCCCTCAGAGCTGTTACCATCCCGTGCATAAGCCACAGAGCATCTTTGCTTGGCTGGTTTTGCTTGGGTACCACTCCAGGGCTGTGCTAGTTGTGGATCAGGGTGCTCCGTGTATCCATGGAGAGCTTCCCTGCCAGGCCGCAGATCTTGGCCATAGCCAGGTCTCCCCGGTGTGTGCACCACCCCAGTCTAGGTGAGAGCCTGGATGTGTCTTGACCTTCTCACCTCCCCCACTCTAGATGTACTCCATCAAATCAGCCATCGAGAACATGGATGCAATGGAGCTGGACTACAGGATGCGGCTGGCAGAGCTGCAGCGGCGCTACAAGGAGAAGCAGCGGGAGCTGGTGAAGCTGCAGCGCCGCAGGGACTCCGAGTAAGTCGCAGGCAGCTCGCTCTGGTTTTTTTCCAGCTGGGCACTTTCACTGCCTCTTGGTCCAGCAGGGAATACAGCCCTTCCATCCCTCCCTGCCTCTTGTCCTCTCCTCCTGGTGCAGCCTGCCAGAGCTTTGCACAGCACACTCCTAGGCAATGTGACACGACAACCTGATCACTGGTGAATCCAGCTGGGAGACCATGTTAGAGACAACCTTGGCTTCAGCAGCTCAGTTTAGCAGTTTGGTGACAGGCGAAGGTTCTGGGTTGGCTTCCCTTCTTGCTTGCTTTCTTTTAATTTTTTTTCCTTTTTTCTTCTTTTTTTTTTGGATTTGTTTGCTTTATTTATTTTTGTTTGTTTGTTTTTGGCTTTTTGGTTCCAAAGTTTTATTTTGCCTTATTTTTTTCTTTGCTTGCTTTTTTTTTTGGTTTTTTTTTGTTGCCTTGGTTAACAGTGAAGCGTGTGGTTTTTTTAAAGGGAAAAGCATGACGAGAAAAGTAGAAGCTTGGCGAGAAGAGGCCCTGGAAGGCCCAGGAAGAGGAAACTTGGATCAAGCGCTCTGTCACCCATTAAGGAGAGAGGGAAGAGTGACAGCAAGAGTGGAAAGTAAGGCTGGAATTTGGGGAAGATGGGCAAATGGCAGGGTCGCTGCACCAGGGTTTGACTTGGGGAGAGGATCTCGGATGCATCTGGGGCTCGCTGGGGCCTTGTGTTGGCAGGCAGGTCTCTGGCAGCAGTGGTGTTGTGGAAGCATGGGCATCTCGTGGGGTGTGTCCTTATGGTGGGAATAGAGTGCCAGCCTCCACCCTCCCCGCTGGCAGAGCAGGTGGCTGAGGTGTTGGGTGTAGGTAGGACAGGTTGAGTTGAGCAGCAGTGAGATGGCTGGGCAGGGAGCTGTCGGTGAGCTCTTGGTGTCGGGGAGTGTGTCCTTGTGTGTTTTCAGGAGAGCTGACAGTGCAGGCAGGTGCTGTAGAGCTAATTGATGCTGGTGTCAGAATTGAGGACAGGACTGTTCCAGGTTACCTGCTTTCTAGGCCCTTTCTGCTGTTTCTGCTGTCTTCATCTCCTCTTCCTTTAATCAGTGGGAGTTGGTTTCGCCTGACCTCTCTCTCTTCCAAGTGTCTGGATATTCTCTCTCCTGCTTTTTTTCTCTTTTGCAAGTCCAGCTGCTGTTGTTTGGATGCCTGGATCTCACCACCATTGGCCACCTAACCATCTATAGATGGCCATGCTCTCCAATGGGAAGGTACCTCCTGGCTGCCTCCCTGTGTGCTACGTATTTTTGCAAATGTCCTTTCAAGACTGCAAATCAGATTCAGGTGCCCAGCTCCCACTGACCATGTACTTCTGAAAATCTCTCCTCTCGGTGGTTCTGTGTTTTGCTTCTGTTTGGGTGGCTGGACAGGCTGGAGGCATCCAGAGGTGGCTGGAGTTGTGCATGTGTGTGTGTGTGAGCGTGTTGTGTGTGCATGTCCCCACGTTGCACAGCCTGGCATGGGAGATGGGAGATGCACCCTCAGCCAGTGTCCAGGGCCTGAGGTGTTGGTTTGGCTGTTTGTGGTGGTCAGTAGAGAGGATTGAGGGGATGGAAAATGCCTGGAAGCTGAGGAGGCTGCACCGTGTCAGCAGCTTTGTGGTGGTGGTATCACCTTGGCCAGCAGGCTTAGTGTGAAGGAGGTGGCATATGAGAGCTTTTAATGAGGCTTCTAGAGGTCTTGAGGTGTTGACTGATCTCTCCACCCATCAGTTAGTTTCTGGAGACAGCTGGAGAGCAGTGAAAAGATGTGCTTGTAATCTCACCTACTTTATTTTTTTTGTTTTTTAAAATTATTTATTTACCCTCTCCTTTCTCCCCAAATCCCAAAGCGAGACCGAAGAAGCAGGTCACAAATCCCCCTTGTGGGGGGGGCAGGTGTGTGAGATTGCCTGACCTTTGAGCAAGCCCTTCAGTGCCCTTGTCCCTCCGTGTCACTCTATGTGGCAGTTCCTCACCACCTCTGTGCTCATACCCAAGTAACCAGAGCAAGTGTCTGGGCAGTGAGGCACCTCCCTATGCCTCTTGATTCTCACTCTGCACTTACAGAGTCCATGAGAGTAGAAGTGGGAAAAGACCTACAGGCCAGCCCAGCTGTCTGTCCTTCCCTCTGCTGCTCTGTAACAAATCAGGCACTTTTTGGTGGCTGTTATTCAAGACATCACTTGCTTCCTTTCAGAGACCACCTGATTTCTGGTCAGGTCTCTGATCTCAGGCACCCTTATCTCTTCCTGGTGGCCAAGACTGTGCAAGAAGGGCTCCTTGGCTATCCTGTTTGATGGAAAACCTTATCCCAAAGTCCTGTTGTTTCACAGTGGACTTGGCTCCCACTGAGGATCCCCACTGTCCTAGGAGGCATTTAACCTCACTCTTGAGCTTGGTGTGGATCACAGGGAGGAAAGCCCCCCACCTTGACCCATCCTGTGCTTGGCTTGCAGACTGAGCAAGTCCTTGTTGCTCTCTGAAGACTCTGAGACTGGCGAGGGCATGAAGAAGAGGCACAAAGGGGCCCTCCCGGAGGATGATGAGGATGTGGAGAGCAGCAGTGGCAAGATGAAAGGGAGGAACCAGAGCTGGGAAGAGCATGATGCAGCTCCCAGCTTCTCAAATGAGGTCAGTGCCCTCATGGGGAACATGGAGCCACAGGCCAAAAGCAGATCTGTTTCCTGCTTTGCTAGTGTTGTCCTGCACTGGGTGACTCCTGATCTTAGAGCATTTGCTCAGAGTTCACATGGGTTTAGAAGCTCTTCAGGAGAGGACTGGCTGTGCAGCAAAGGGGTGGTTGCAGAGGCTAACCCTGGCATGTGGAGCATGGACCTCTTTGGTAGGCAGCAGAGAGGCAGGTGCTTGCAAGCCAGCCAGGGCATTGTGGTGTTGCAGTAGCTCTGAATCCAGATCAGTGCTTGTCTTACCCTTTTGCCTGTTGAGATAGTGGAGGGGAATAGACTTCCCAAAGCGACGTGGGAGAGGAAGCACAACATTGCTAGTTGAAATGCAGGGTTTTCTTCTGCTCCTGTTGAGGCAATGAGATATTTATTGGAGCTTTAAGCTGCTGATGAAATCCAAAATGCATACAGGCAAAGCTGCTGTTATCTAGCTGTAGCACATGTAAAGTCTTATTTACTTTTTCCAAGAAGCAAGAAAATTCTGCAAAGGAAGTAGCAGTGCTGGCTGTAATGCAGTGGTATGATGCTTTTGCTGGGAGATATTTGGGTCTTTTTGGCATTCCAGCCTCTGGAGCTGGTTGATTATGTGAAAATCCCTATTTATTTGGCTGGCATTTTGGGTAAAGAAGATTTTTCATCCTTGTGATTTACAGAAGAGCTTGTAAAAGCAACCCAAACATACCCTAAAAACCAGAAGGTGTTGAGAAGAAAGAACTCCAAAATGTAGTGTTCTATGAACATACTTATTTTGGAAAAAAGTTCCATTTTTCTCAGTTAATCTTCCAGTTTGGTAGTTCTTGATAAATTGTGCTGTTTGCTGACATCTTCCTCTTCTTCTCTGGCACCGTGGTGGGATATGGCAACTGGGGCTTAAGAACATCATTTTGAGGTCTTACTAACTAGTGTACATGAGAGACTGTTAGGAGGGCTAGTGAAACCCCTCAGGTCTGCCATGATGTCTGCTCTGTGTTCACCTGTGTCTCTTCCTTTCACCTTGGCAGTTGAAGCTCAAAAAGAAGAAGGTGCCATCAGATCAGGAGCAGCTGGCCAGCAAGCTTGACAAAGCCCTGTCACTCACCAAACAAGACAAACTCAAATCCACCTTCAAGTTTGCTGACAGCTCTGGGGGAAAGCTGAAAACTAGTGGAGGTGGCAGCAGGTACCTCCCACCCCATGATGCTCTGCCGAGCAAGGAAGAAAAGAAGACCCTGGCCAAGAACCTGGGCCTGTCACTGAAAGCCACCAAGGAAGGTAAAAACAAAGTGGCTGCCAAAATGAAGAAGATGGAGGTGGGGTTAAAGGTCAAAAATCAGCTCAAGGTTTCCCATTCACCAGCAGTATCTGAAGTTAGCAGCTACTCCTATAGTAAGTAACTCCTCATTTATGCCTTCTTCCAGTGTATCTGTTGTGGGGGTTGTGGTGGTGGTTTCTGGGCTCTTGGAAGGGGTATTGGAGATGAGTCCGGTTTTGCTCATGAGTAAAAGGTGACCTCCTCTGTGGCTAATCAATGCTTCTGCATCTTTGGGGTCAGCATGAGCTGTCCACCCAACTTGCTGTCCAGGATGTAGCCAGTAGCTGCCTCTTCTTGGCCTGTGTTGCACTGATTGTCAATTTATTGCTTTTGGTGTAAGTAGACACTCTCCAGCTACCTGTCAGATGAGTCCTCGTAGCCTCTGCTCCAGGAGGTGGTAAAAAGTTGACTTTTGAAGTAATTGTTGAGTTGGTGGGATTGGCTTTAAACTTATGTCGTGGAGTCAGTTGGAGAAGGCAAAGCCTGCCAGGGGACACTGATGGTCAGGAGCATCCTTCTGCTCCCCAGTGCTGTGGCTTGGTTCCTGTCTGACTGTGCTCAGCCTTCCCATCTGTCTTCCCATCCCAGCATCCTATGTGCTGATTGCCATTCCTGAACCCAAAGTGCACCCAAGGCAAAGGTTCCTGCAGCTGAGCAGAGCTAGGGAGCCCTGTTACAGAAGGAGAAATCTGAATTGCACATAGAGTTGGGAAGACAGTAGAACCAGAGTTCTTAACGGTTCAGGCAGACAGTGGAGCAGAGAGCATGAGGGACTTGGGAGTTGATGGTCTGAGGCCTGGTTCTGGAATTGTCCTCGCTCACTCTGCATACATATCTTTTCCTTTGCTTGCAGCTATTTAAATCCCATGTTAAAACCCTTTTGGGTAGTTGTTGGTGTAACAAATGCCTCTCTCAGAGCAACATCCGTTTAGAAATTTTACTAATGGGGAAGATGATGAGCTAGTGATTCTCCAACTGAACAAATGTTTGGCATGAAATTGGCCATTTTACATGGCAAAATAAAGGCCATTGTGTCTACTGGACTTGAACACAACCTTTGGCTGGATGTGCTGTATGCACCACCCAACAGTTCTGTTCTTGAATGTATTTCACTCTGGAGGAAAAACACATGGCCTCTAAACTGGGAGCTCTGGAGCTGATGGGGAGAGGAGGCATGGGCTGCTGTGGAACTAAAAGCCTTGGCTCGTGGCAGAGGGAGCTTTTGGTGCCCTTGCACTTAGTACTGTGGTTCCATGAACAAAACCTCCCTCCCAGACCTAAGGGAGCTACTGTTTCACCTCTGTCCTCTCCAGTGTGTCTCCTCCTGTAGGAATGTGTCCCTTCACCACGTGAATCTCGGTGCAGGAGGGTTGTTGTCACTGAGGACCTGACGCTGAAATGGCTCAGCTTTGGTGTGTGATTTTTCAGCTGTGTGCAGGTTCAAGGAAAGGGCTTTAGCCTGTCATTTTGTCACTCAAGCATGATGGATTTGGGGAGGCAGGTTGAGCATATGGCAGCATCTCCCATGTCCAGTGGGTTGCTGTTGTGGAGGAGAAGCGGGACTGGTGCCAAGTCCTTCTGTCTCCTGACCTCATGATTTTCTCGCTGGAGTCCTGAAAACCTCCGGCGTAGATCCAAAGGGAGAACTGAGCATCCTAGTCCCACAGGTTTTAACAGAAGTCAGATGCCAAAAATAATTTGTTTATTTGGGCTTTGGGCCTCCTAAACTTGCTGTCCCCTGTTCTGTCACCTCCACAACCGATGCTGGAGAGCATCTGCTGCTGGAACGGTCCCTGCTGCAATGCCCATAATGTTGTGGAGCTGGTGGTGTGTTCTCAAGTGGGGAGGTGATAATTCATACCCACTTTTACTGTGTCCAACGGTACCATGTACTTCTTGTTCCACTCATCAGATGCCCGCTGGATGACTTCTCATCACCCTTGGGGCTTGGCAGCTTTGTAAAGCTGCAGCTTGCAGACCGAGGAGCAGTTTGGTCTCTGCTCCGTTTCAGTGTCCTTCACATTTCACACTGCAGAGCATCTGGGGTGGCACATTTCGAGTTAGACGTTTGGAGTTAGACATGTTGCTCACTTGGCAGCTGGGGTCACTCCTGCTGCCCATGTCGAAAACCCTTTGGGAGAATTGGTTCGTGTAGAAAAGGAGTTTTAGGTCACAGTGTCAAACATAACCATGGTTAAGACTAATTTAGGTCGATGGCCTGGCTGTTGGCATCGCTGTGGACATCTTCATAGTGGAAACATCTACCTCAGTTTTCTGCTCCTGAGCTAGAAACACTGCTTGGGTCTTGTCTTAAGGGAGGGTGGGAGTCATCTGGCCTAGGTGGAGAGTGTCTGTTTCTGACCAAAAGAAGGAAATAAGTATTTCTGTGTTTATTTGGTGACTTGCGGTGCCGGAAAGGTCTGGTGGGGGGGAACGTGTCAGCACCCGACCCCTCCTGCAGCCGCCTCCCCCTCCTGGTTTCCAGCCCTTTCATCGAGACACCCACCACAGCACCCCTCAAACAAACAGAGCCCCCAGACCCCCGGTGTAACGCTCTTCTTCTTTGACCGCAGATACGGACTCGGATGAGGAGGGATCCCGGAGGGACGAGTGGCCGGCGCAGCCCCCGGCCAGGCCGCGACCTCCCGGCCTCTACAGCTCGGGGCCCAGGAAGGGCGGC